AGTGGGTGGAGGCTCGGGCAAAGCAGGGGGCGTGGCGTCAGGTGGTGCAGCCAGAGTCGTGGGCGTGGCAGCAGGCAGTGCAGCCGGAGAGACAGGCAGGACAGGTGGGGCCGCGGGCAGAGCAGCGGCAGCAGGCAGGACGGGCCGCGGGCAGAGCAGCGGCAGCAGGCAGGACGGGCAAGCCGGGCTGGATGGGCAGGACAGAAGAGCCGGGCTGGACGGGCAGGACAGAAGAGCCGGGCTGGACGGGAGAGCCGGGCTGGATGGGAGAGCCGGGATGGACGGGCAAGTCAGAAGAGCCGGGCTGGACGGGAGAGCCGGGCTGGATGGGCAGAGAGACGGCCTCAGGCAGGGCCACGGGTAGAGCGGCCTCAGGCAGGGCTGCCGTCACGTGGCCAGCAGGGGGCGCCTCGGCGGGCACCTCAGGCGCGCGGCCAGCAGGCGGCGCCGCGGGCAGAGCGGCGTCATCAGCTGCAGGCGGAGGCGAAGCCAAGACCTCGGGCGGAGCTGCAGCGTGCACCAAAAATTCCTGGCCAGCAGGGGGTGCCTCGGCGGGCACCTCGGGCGGAGCTGCAGCGGGCATCACCAATTCCTGGCCAGCAGGGGGCGCCTCTGCGTGCACCTCCGGCGGTGCCACAGGCAGAGCGGCGGCAGCTGCAGGGACCGCAGGCAGAGCGGCGGCAGCTCGGGCGTGTGGCCAGCAGGTGGTGCCACGGGCAGAGCGGCGTCATCAGCTGCAGGCGGAGGCGAAGCCAAGACCTCGGGCGGAGCTGCAGCGTGCACCACCAATTCCTGGCCAGCAGGGGGCGCCTCGGCAGGCACCTCGGGCGGAGCTGCAGCGGGCATCACCAATTCCTGGCCAGCAGGGGGCGCCTCTGCATGCACCTCCGGCGGTGCCACAGGCAGAGCGGCGGCAGCTGCAGGGACCGCAGGCAGAGCAGCGGCAGCTGCAGGGACCGCAGGCAGAGCGGCGGGTCAGGCAGGACAGGCGGGTCAGGCAGGACAGGCGGTGTCGCTGGCAAAGCGGCGGCAGCAGCAGGCAGTGCTGCGGGCAGTGCGGCGGCAGCAGCAGTAGGCGGTGCTGGCTGCTCCGGACCTGCCCCTGTAAGGGCTCTAGGGACCCGGGGAATAACATCCCGGATGGCGCTGATCCCCTAGCTGTGCAGACGCTCCGGCCGGTATGGATACGCCTCCAACGGAGGCGGCCTCTCCGGGTGGAAGCCGGCCAGGCGGGCAGCAGTGATGTCATCCCATGTGGGCGGTGAGCCCTCGTGCGCACCGGCTAACTCCCAGGCGGGGATCACAGAGCAAGCTCCCAAGAAGAGAGTCAGGGTCTCTTCCTGCTGCACTTTGGTCTTTCTCCGCTTCTTTTTTCCCCTGGCGGCGGAAGGCGGAGCCGCTGCGAACACGTCGCCTAGGCTCCGGGCGACGCGTTCGTCTCTCCGCCGCATGAGACGCTCACTCAGGCGGTGTAGACATTTGCGTACCCGCTCGAGTGGGTACTGCTGTCCAGGCGGGCGCTCCTCAGTGAGGAGGTCCGCGCCCCGGGTGGCCAGTTCCAGGGCGATGGGGTCCTCTAGCACCTCGGGCTGGGAGCGCCAGTACACTGCTTCTTGCAGCAGACCAAGCCTCTGGAGCTCGGTCTGCTGCGCTG